TGTTGATTAAAATATTACCTATATATAATCTACTAATTGTATAATGATAATATGTATATTTGTTAGTTATTAGTTCTTATTTATTTATTATAGTATGCTAATACACATTAACAAATAATTAATAAGCAATGATAACGCTTGTAATTTTATTATTTCATAATATTTATTATAATACATTGTTGGCTACTCCCTAGCTACCCTTATATTATGCCCTATATAGATATGCCAAATATATAATCTATTATTTTTATTATTTCGATAAAAAAAAATATATGTTAAGAAATTTACTGTATCACTTTAAAAACACAAAATTTAACTATACATTTTTTATGAAGCAAAGTTTTAAGCAATAAATTTACGTTTTCTTTACTTAGAATTGAAACTTTATTTAAATATAGGTAATTACAATTTACCACCTTTATTATTTATTAATTAACTCTTTTGTAATCGTTTTTTAGAAATAAAATTAATATGTTTAGTCACCTATTTATTATGTATAGATTTGATAATTATTTTATCTGAAGTAATTTATATTTATCAAGAAGGTATCTGAAAACTAACTAATATATTATTATAAATAATATATATTTGATCATGCATTTTAATGAATTTATTATATCGACAAGTGTAGAGTGATCAAAACTACATACACTACATACATGTTTTAAGTTTATTATTAGTTTATATTATGTACAATTGTTGAATTGACTGTACACACAATAATGTAAGTAGTACTAGTAGTAGATACTGTAGTAGGCATTATTTAATCTTATTTGTTTACACTAATAACATTTTCTATCTCAGACTTCAACGACCAATATTATAAAATGTATAAGTTATAATAATTTATAACACATCCTAGTTTACTGATTAAGTGAATATTATGCGTAATAMGTTCGTTTTAATTTTAACTAAAAATCGTGTCAGTGGTGATAATTCGTGACGGGCCCATTGCCAGATGCTTTTTCGTATCGGTAATAATAAATGACATCACGTTTTTCCACCATAAACAAACTGTATATTGTTGTATGTACAAACTTATTTTACTAAATAACGATATAAGTGTGTGTTTTAAGTAATGTGTATTTTAATATATCGGAACTTCGATGTGGGTGCTAATTACAAATTTATACTTGTGTCCATAAATATAAAAACTGTGATTAAAATAACCCTTGAAGGCTATTAAGCTCGGACTCGAAGTATTGCCGAAAATCGTGCCAATTTTTTTTGGTAGTTTTTAAAAATGTTTCTAATTCAAATCAACAAACTTAATAATTTTTTAACTTTAGTATAATATTATATATACCTACTTAGAATTTAGTGATCTTATATGCGTAAAGGTTTAGCATATATTAATATATTACTATATATTTAAAAGTATTAAATTTAAATAATGTATAAATAATATAGGTACATTTAATATTCCTGAATCGGTATCAATTAGTCTAATCATTTTTACTATCGCGCTTCCGAATCATAACCATAACCATAATCAATCTACCAGACTGTGATGTTTTCAATTTTCTCATTTTAATTCATCTATTTTCTCTTTTTTAAATTACATTATCTGTACTTCTGTGATACAATAAATAGGTACATGCAAATTTAAACGACGTATTCGATATTACCAAGTATGTATAAATTGTATTTATTTGAGTTTTTATTTTACTATGTAGATAATTACTAATTAGYTTACAACGGTATACATGTACTATATACATATATTATTAATAAATCTAATATTAGTTATTATTTACCTAAAAAAGTTATTATATTTTTATCTCTTAAATTGATGAAACCCACTTACTCCACGACCTTACACTATATTATTTTATATTTGCATGTGCTATTTTAGATTTTGATGTATCTTTATAGTCTATAAGTATTCAATTAGACACTCCACTCCCGTTACAAATAACAATAGGTTGTTAGAAGCAAATTATCTTCCAACAACTATCATACCTTGAATTTTATAATATGTTATATTCTTAAATTGAATAATGCAAGCATCTGGGAGAATAATTCGGAAATAAATTATGGATACAAATAATTTATAGGTAGCTACATTATATGGTTGACACACCTAAATCACACGCGCAATAGTTAATTATTTTGTAGTCCGTAACCGTATTTCCGTTGGTCATTTCCTGCGAATAATAAAAAATTCCCCATCACAATAAAAAAACTAATACAAAATATCATCTCGCACATACATAATATTACCTACATTAACCTAAAAGTGACCGATATACCTAGGCTATAACTATAACACCGTTCGTTATAAACATTTGTCAGTCATCTTGGCATTTATGTAGGTATCCACRTGCGTTTAAAATATTTTTTTCTAAGTTAATGTGTATGTATAATATATTGTTTATTGCCCCGACTTTGTTTAGTTATAACACTAAGTCATCTATACAATACGTAATACACTATGTATTTATCATGTTTTTAACAGTCAATAATTATCAATATGATGTGTATTAAAACTTATAACTTATAAGTATGCATATTAGGGTTAAAAAATTTTATGTTTTACGATTTAAAATGTTTTTTGTATAATTTTTATTTTTTATTTAGCATTTTAGCCAGTTTTTGTATGTTTAAAATGATTTTTGTTTCGGTATACTCACTTGTTGGCTAATGCACGGTGATTTAAATCTGACAAATAGGATTATGAATTGTTGTCGTAATTGTTTCTAGGATAGTYTATGTAAACACTAAATGGAACTTAAAATGACTAGCTCCAAATTGATTCGTTTCCAACTAAAAAAAACCTTTCTTAACCTTAACCTAAATCTATCAGTCTATTTCAACATCATTCTTCCATACATTTGTCAGATTAAAATATATCCATTTAACGTTCATACTAACTCTTTTCATTAATAATTATAATGTATAATTTATTATGACAATAATTAATAACAAACTAAACATTACATTTCATCGAAATCTATGGTATTTGTGTATCTATACAAAAACATTAAATTAGGCTCTCAATATACCGTGCTGTGTTGTATAAAGTTACTAAAGTAGAATATATATATTCAACATACAACTTGTAAGTAACGTGTTAATAACATTTTGTTACATACATATTAAATAAATAAATATACAAAACATGACACGAGTTGGTATAGTGTAAACCCTGCTTTACAGACTTTCTTAAATTATACATAAAAATATAAAATTAATTTTAATATTTCAATATTGGCCAATAAAAATGATGATCTTGTATAAGAACTTTTTTTACTGTAGTTGAATTACTTTTTTACGCTACCAAATGTTTTTTACAAAGATCGGAAATTGCAGTTGCGTAACATATAATTGATATGGAAATTAGGAAAAAAAAACTGTCACGTAACAGTTCTTTGACACCACCTATACAGATTTGATGCTTTCCCATTGTATCTAGATATATAATAAGTAATATAAAACGATAACGCATTCGACACGCACATCATACTAACCGTGCGGTGGCTATCATTGACATAATCCTATATGAATTTAGAAATTTGTTCCCATCAAGTATTACTAGTTGTTACCGATATTTTTGGTTTTCAAAAATTAGATTAATTTGATTAGATGGTATTATGAAAAAATATTTTTCCCATAGGTAGAGTAATGACACATCAACCAGAAAATAAATATTCACGTGACATAAAAAAATATAATCACGTGATTAAAGTTCACTATTATAATATTTAGGTATAGATACCTTGCAGAAATTAATTCTATTTAAATTGTTAGCATTAATATAGCATTCTGTAAACATAATATAAAATGTAATAAATTAACAACACTTTCAAAAATCTTGGACCTTCTTAAACTAAACGTGTGATTTTCAGTAAGTTCTTCAAATAAGATTTATTAAATTTGCATAGGCCATAGATCATATTTCAGTCCGTGTCAATTTGCTCGGCAGTCTGTATCTATTAGACATTATTTGTTTTAATGTGCTTTTATTATCATTTACTTATAATTAAATTATGCATAAAATTATGCAAATACGAATTTACGTCACCTTGATCTCATGGACATCTGTTTTTGAGCATTTACCTAATATCTATTGGTAAAATAATTTTGTAATAAATGTATGAATGGTGCCTAAATGATTCACACTTTTTATAAATACGTTTAAAATTATTGTGTTTTTGATTGATTATTTATTATATTACTATTTTTAATAGCTGTGTATTATTTGTATAAGATTTTAGTAAAGTTCATGAACCACCGTTTAATTGTATATGGTTGGTAAATAGTGTGAACATTTTTGAAACGAAATTCGTATTTGTATATTATAATAATGAAACACTTGATCATTGGAGACAACTAGTGTATGTCAACCTTTTTATTTGCGATAAGGATGAGAGGCAACTATTATAGTATTATGCATCGTAATAATTATAACTTAAAGAACGTGTCGTGATTAAGGAGGATGGGGGGATAGATGCCTCATTGCCTTTATAATATCTATATAAATATGTAATATTTATTTTTTTATTAATTTGTAGCTTGTGGGATTATTTTTTGATATAGTGATATCGTAATAAAATATATTTTAAATAATTATAACACTCACTAAAAATATAAAAATATAACTTATTTGTTATTACGATAAACCGAAAACACGAAAATTAACATGATATATTATTTTTTAATGTAATAAGAGTGTCCCGTATTTTCTTGTAAGCTGCAAACTTTACAACACGAATGCTATTTATTATGCCTGGTGTGAAGTATTATTTTTCACTGTTTTTATTGTAACATAATAATAAATTAATAATATATAGTTATTTAATTTGCTTACATTTAAAAAAAATGATTCAAAACATTTTATTTTACGATTAAGGTTTATGCTACATTATTTTTTTTTATGTCCATATTTATTTTGGGTCTTTTTATTATTTTAATTTTGCGTTTATATTTGTTGTTAATATATATATATATATATATATATATATATGAAATATCTAAAATATAGATATATATATTTGCAGTCAAAAGTGAACAAGTCAGCAGCAGAACAAACCTTTATCAAGAACAAAACGTTACTGATTCAATTACTTCTAGCTACGGTGTAGGTCCCACCGACGACAATGGTAGACCGTTGTTCGGATTGAGAGCTCTCAGGAAAACAAATAATGCCAATCAATCGGTTGTGAGTGGTGAGTACAATATTATGCAAACCTCACTGTATACTTAAGCATTTCACAGATCAATGTTATATCTACATTTCTACTTCGTGCATTGTTGTTATTGACACTTGTTTCTTTTTTAGAGAACGATTCGTCGTCATCCGTCCGCTGCGAAGCTGAATCACTCAACACTCAGATTTCTGACCAAAAACATAGATCGTTCGGTCTCAAAGCTCTACAATCCGAGAACACATATACGGTTCATGAGTCATCGAGCACTGTGCACCAAACAGTGTCCGGTCAAAAAGGCGGTGTCGATCAGTTGATCACCGACCATAAGGGTAAACCGCTGTTCGGCCTGAAAGCGTTGCAAAGCATCGGCAAAAACGAAGAACCTATTTACGACGACATGCCGGAACCGCCGGTATCCCCACAGCTAAAGGATCTGGTGCTCAAGCACGAAAAACACGCAAGTAAGTCATTTATTGTGATTATATTCAAGTTAAACTACAAAGTAAAGGTAAAATATTATAATTTATAAAGTTTTATTAATTAGCATATTGGCAGTTATTACATCGAATTATTAAAATAATCGATTTGAATGATAAATGTTGAATCGCGTGTTGTTGAGTATTGTCTGCAAATAAGCTTGATTACTTTTTTATGACGCGCTTATAATTTTTAAGGTTATATATCAATATAATTATTATTCTATTTTTTTCGTTGGAATTACTTAAGACTTGTCAACAAAACACTTTTCTATAACGGTACTCGTAAAATAAATTAAAATTAAAATGTATGGGTGTATGGGTTAAACAAAAGTACAAAATTATTATGTTTTATTGTATTCAAATCGAGTAATTTATATATCATGCTTGTTTTAGAAGAGAGTTCCAAATTAGACTCACAACCTAGGCAAAAACCAAAAGCAAAATTTAGAGATAGTTTTATACTTGATACGAAAGATGAGGGTTTGTATTCAACTTTTGAAGAAAATGGATTTACAGACCCCAACGAAATTACTTCGTTGCGTTCGACTATTAAAAAAACAGAAGATGATCAAAACAATGGTATTTTATGAAAACTAGGTAGTGTGGATAATTGATTTTTAAGTAATTCATAAATATTTAATATGTTTTAGAAACTATAATTAAAAGTAAAAGTCAATCGACAGTTTTTCAATCAAAGAGTGTAATGCGTTCCGATGGATCTGGAAATGTTTCAGTCACACAAGATTTCTTGAAAGGTTAGTACTTAAACATGGCCATATTTTATATTTTAAACTTTTTTATTTAATTGCGTAGTCTTATTAAATGAAATTTTGCAATAAAACTATTGTGAGAAATGGCAAGTTTATATTATTTATTTTATGTTATGTAACAATGACACGTGATTGAGCGTTAGGCTAGGTGAAAATAAAACAAAATAGTTCAAGTTGGACTTCGTCCAAAACGTAATTAAAACACAAAAAACTCGAAGCACTTCAAAAGCCGTTATTTGTGTATGGCATCAGCAAGTGCTAAGACTACTACATTACGTTCAGCTTTGTGCATCATATATTTTTAAATGAAACTTTTTTGGGACTTTGTCTTGAATATTGGCCTAGTTTTTACTTTTCTAATATTTTCGTATACATGGCCCATAGTGTTATTTTTTTTTATAATAGCTCTTATAATTTTTCAAATTTTACAAATACAATGGGAACATAATTTGATTTTATCAGGTACCTAATATTTTGTCAGTCATAACTATGATTTGATTTTTGCAAGTTAGGTATAGTTTAAACTATTATAAGAAATATATTTATTTATAATATAATTTTATAATTCTGATTTCAAGGTGTAGAATTACAATAAATATCCACATATTTGTTTTGTTATAGGTGAATTGTCATCTGTGAATGAACAAGAACCAACAGGAAAACTGACTCGAGGACATTACACCTATCAGAGCCCAGATAATTTAGATCCCAAAAAAGGCATTGCTAAAGTCACAACAGTCACAACAGATATTGGAAAAGACACTGGTCCCCAAATTACTGAAATTACCGAAGAGTTCAGTGACAATGATCGAGTTGACGGAAACAAAGTAGTAAAAAGGAGCCGAACCAATGACAAATTTGAAAATATCCAGAAAAGGTTTAGCCAAGAAAGTTTTAATCAAGACAGCAGGCGTTCATCCAAAGAACTGAATGGAAATGAAAAACCTGAAGAATCGCCACAGTCTACTCCAAGATCAAGTTTGGTGCGCGGAGATTCAATCAAGGCGCTTCAACATAAATTTCAACAAGCCACCGGTAATTTATTATTTATTAGGTAGTGATCTTAATTCAACTTAGGTTATTAATTAGTGTAACAATTTTACTTTTTAAGTTCAGTTGAACTTAGTTAATTTGAACTTTTTGAACTTCAAATAATTAATACCTCAAACTTATTCCTGGTCTCTAGAATTTCCTATTGTTGTACTATCCTTAGATTATTTTGTCCTGTCCCTTCAATGTTGAGTTAACCATGTCCAAATGTAATTTGAATGAAAATTAATTACATTTAATTGTAAGTAATTTATTCTTAATTTAAGTTACTTTTTTTAGTAAATAAGTAAATTGTTCATTACTTAATTATTCCATCTTATTTATCATATGAGATGATTGTTTGGTAGAAACATTATTTTTATAACCATTTAACATAAAATTTTTATTTTTAATAAATGTAGTAATTTGGAAATAAATTATTTTWAAAAAATGTAAAAAATAGCATAAAATATGCTAAACAATAATTGTTCTTAAATGACAATTTTATCAATTTCATATTCTTGATAGTTATTACTCGTATTGACAACACAATTATAAAGCTTTGGTAATCTTTAAAAAAAAACGTAACTTTAATTGTAATAAAGTTGCTTTTATTAACTTAAAAGTAGTGCAATTTGACTATGTATGTAACTTAAGAATGATGTAATTAAAATTTTGAAAGATAATTTGTAGTGTAATTTAATTATCAGTAAAAACATAACTTTTTCAACACTACTATTATGCATGATGTGTATCGGACATAGGTACCAAATTGCTATAAAGCGTATATGTTTTCTTTAATTAACCAATTATTCTTATCAATTTGATCCTTCTTTATTATTCTATGGTTATATATAATCGATAAATACTGAATAATGTCATATATGCATAATAAAGTGTAAGTCAATTTTGAATTTTGATCTCTTATTGTAAGGTTCATAAAATATTATTTAGTATCTTTTATTATACAATTATTAATGATTAATTAAAAATTATATTTAAAACTGCATTTGCCGTTTGATAATCAAAAGTTATCATTAATGCAATTACAGTAAAAAATAAACATTCTAATAAATCTGAATGAAATTTAAAACAAATGTATTATTTTAAAATGTTTTTAAGTTATTTTTTATTAGTGATACCTATTTAATTAATATTTTGCTAATGCTTTATAGTAAATGATAGATGTAATTCTAATTTTACCTAATGAACTCTTTTATATTTTAGTTTCATTTAGTTATATTTATTTAGTAGTATTTAATTAATATTATGCTAATGCTTTATAATAAATGATAAGTGTAATCCTAATTTACCCTAATGAACTATTTTATATTTCAGTTTCATCTAGTTTGAAACAGAACAGAACTACTAAATCTGATGTGTCTAGTAGTTCACGAAAAGTTGAAGAAAAAACAGTAACAACTAAAGTGAATTCAACAAAAAATAGTGGAACTACTACATCCTTCCTCGACAATAACTCAAGAGTGACTGGTGTACAAGATGTCTTAACCAGAATGCGAAATGCTGATCTTGGTAAACAATGATTAATAATAAAAAAATGTAAAATACAAATAAAAATATCAACATTATATAATATAATATGTATTAATTAGATATATATATATATATGCTAATCTTTAATTATTTTTGTCTTATATTATAGTTGTAGAAAATGGTGATACCAATGAAGACATTGAAGCCCGAGCTCTGCTTAACAAATTTTTAGGTGCTTCAGTCATCCTTCATGGAATGGAACAAGGAAACAAATCCCCTACTTCCAATAATTCTACTACAAGTAGTGCTGCACTTGTTAACCAAGTTGAAAAACAAAGAGCACAGGTAAGCTATAATATTATAACACATAAAAACATTTTTTCTTCTTTAAAACATAACAAGTGTGTTGAACTAAGAATTTAATTTTGAGAAAGTAAAAAATAAACACGGATGAAGCCGGGTAATTCAGCTAGTAAACTATAATGTACTGTTAAAAATAAAAATTTAAGAACTTCCAATAAAATAAGATAAAAGTTGGGCGTTGATTTATAAATCAAATTTATATGTTTCTATGTAAGTTATAAATACCTAATAATAATATTCTACTAATAATCTATCTTATTAATATTCAACACATAGGTTCTTTAATCTTTATATACGTATATTGATATTTTTTAACTCATTATTAGGGCTGGGATTTGTATGTAAATACATAATATATTTAGTAAAACACGATAAATTAATTATTGCAATTTGCAAATGATAAATTCTTTTCACGTAATTTGCAATAAAATATGTCATATTTTATTTTACATATTTTTACATATTTCGTCATAAATACATATTTTTACATACTTTGTAAAATTCTCGCTTTTTTACATATTTCTTAAATTTTGACAATTTCGGTTGTTTAATAATCTTTTAAATTTATATTTCGATAATGGTACTCAGCAAATTTTAAGTGTATARTAATGTATTAATGCATATAGGAAATAAGTAGGTTAAAATAAATATTAATAACTTGATTTAGTTTATCATATCTGTTTCTGTTCGATAACCATACGTCCATACCTTAATGATTATACTTTATGTTCAACAATTATTTGACAAAATATATTTACAAATTTACAACAATACCTATCAGACAATCAGTTCGCGTGTTCGCGTGGTTATGAAAACATCTTCACCTAACGTACATTTAATTTTGAAAATTTAAAATAATTTATAGTTTTTCATTGATTGACTTTAAATTGATTTAACATCAATTGTATTTCAATTTAACAACATATTTTTTAATTTTTTACCACAAATTATTATATTTTTTAAATTAAATTATTAGACATAAAAAACAATAAATTGTATTATAAAATTATTTAGAATTGTATTTTAATTTAAAATTTTAACATATTTTAAAAATTTCTTTTAGTAGGTACATATTTTTTATTTTATACTACATATTTTGGCAATTTCAATTACATATATATGTACATATTTTTGGTTTTTTTATTACATATAAATCCCAGCCCTACTCATTATAAAACAAACATAGGTGCATTATTATTATTCATACCTACATTACTACAAGCAGTGACAAAATGGCTAAAAATGTTTGTCTAAAAATTTAACATTTTATCTGGATATTACTCGTATGACTATACAGACTAATACCAAACTTATTGATAAATATTGGACCAAAACTAGAACACAATAGTTGGGGAGTCTACTGCGTAATCAGCTGCAAGTTAAAAATATTTTGTATAATTATTATAAGAAAAAAAGTGCAACTAGAAGTTGGAACGCAAATAAATCGTGGGAAGTAGGAAATAAACATTTACTTTGTTTTGAAAGAAAAATAACTATATTTTCTGAAAAGTTTTGTGTACGTAACAACTATCGGCTTTGTTATCTTAATTACCTAGTTTTTACTCAATACATTTTCAATTTTAGTTTTTGTATTAATATAAAATTAATAATTCTAAATAAATTTCATAATTTAAATACAATTTATTTTGTAATTTTTCATCCAATTAGTATAAACAGTCTGGCTGAATAGTTCTTTTTACTRTGCATTTAAAACTATAAAAAAATGTTTTTTTTATGGTATTTAGATGTCAGAAAAAACATTTAACGGTTGTGTTGATAGTTATTACACAATCGTAGTATTTTACAAATGTTAAAAATAGCTTCATCTTTCATATTTCGTCTTAATGTTATTGTTATTTGTAACTTTTAAATAATTATTTCATACAGCGAAAATTGTCTGTCTTAAAATTTAAATAATTAGTTTTGAATAAATTTACAAAATCCTTCGTATATATTAGGTATATTATATACTTAAAAATTAATACATTTTTAATATAAGATCATTTCTTAATAGTTTATACACGACAAATAAATTATAATATACCTTTTCAAATGATAAATTTAAGGGAAAATTAAAAATAATTTTTATATGCTTCTCTATCATAATTTTAAAGTAGAACCTGGGTAATCTTTTTAAAAGCTTCGTCTGACAATATTAGCTTATATTAGTTATATTATTATATTTTATGGCCACTTTGAATATCTTAATATTAACAATAATATAAAATATTAACAATAATATAACATAGTAAACATATCCTTTTGATTAAATATATTTTTCTCAACCAATACTCAAATTATTTATTTATATTGATAGAAATGTATAGCAAGTTTATGTTTTGGTCTGTTTTATAGTTTACCTATAGCTATATATTAAGTGTCTTAAATAAAAAAATTATGATTAGAATAATTATAGAACAAAACATTTTATCAAATAGATGTCTAGGTAATTACTAATTAGGAGAAGTATTGGCAGCATAGTTCCTTCTCCGGTCTTCGATACCATAAGAAAAAAAAAAAAAAAAGTAATTACTAATTATACAAACAATGAATATATTTATATTTTTAATATGAAATAAAAAAATTCATCAATTTATTCAGTATATTGCACAATAAGCCGACGTGATAGAAAGAAACATATAACAATATAGAAACAATTTAAAAAAACAAAAGGTACGCATGATCGAGGTAAAGTAAGGTCCAGCAATAACACTTTTGTTAGAATTATTATACATATCTATTATTGGAGAACCGTTTGCTACTAAATGACGTCACGCAGGAGTATAATGTATTATCTGTATATTATATAATGTTCGTATTATACATTTATAAATACAAAGAATATTTCAATCGTTTAATGCTTTGTGTTTGTTAACGGGGTGAACAAGCCATGGCGCTTATTTGTTTCCCCGGTCTATGTAGTCACTACGTTTTTTGGCATTATTGTACACTTGGATTTTGAACAATAAACTAACTTATAAATATAATGAAGGTGCCACCCTGTTCGTTTGTAAGTCGTTTACGGTAAATAATTATCGAATTATGTTGGACATAAAATCGGCATCTTTGTTCAGACGCAAGTTTACCGAACATAATACAACGGTCAATAATAGTATTACTACTCTACCAACAGTTAATTTCCCTACCCGTTGGACAACGCATTTTGGCTTTGCGCGTTTCACGACGAAAATAATATTTGAAGGCAAATCCTATTTTGGTCAGCGCGGTGGTTCACTCGACGTCGAATGCTCCGTTCCGTTGGCCACGCAGTTCAGTTTATACTTGGCTTCACGCGCAACTATTTCTGTGAACATTGAGTGTGTCCGTGTTGCTGAAAAATATCGTATAATTTTTTTTCCATAGTAACTAAATAAGTAAAAAATTCTCACTTTATCATATTTTTCGCATTCAATTTTTTTTTCTTGTGTTAGGTAAGTACTTACCCACTTACAAGAGAGTGCAGTTCGACTTGTCGATTCGCCCGGAATCAATAGATTTTTATTCTTTTACGTTTTAGTTGTTACTTACTGGCTTAGGTTTTAATTTATTATAATATAGGTCTAAGGCATACAATAAGGTACGAAGTTCTGCAGATTGGTCAGATCGAGTATATAATATAGGTAATTAATAAAACTTGAAAGTACCTAATACAAATATCTAATGATTATAAAGTAATTTTACAATTTTAAGTTGAAAGATGTGCAGATGGGTCTTTATCTAATAGTCTTACTCCGAAGTCTTGCCGGTTGGCAGGAACACGAATCGGACGAACGCATATTTTGTTCTACATTCTGTTCTGTTTTCAGAATGTTAATATTTCCACCCCGAATTTAGATTTGTTTTTGTGTTTATTTCTAATTGGTGGTTGTAGATTAAACACACGGAAATCCCCAAAATTGTTGGTCCATGAATATTATTAGGGCAATGTTTGGCCGATTCCCAGCAAATAAAACATATTGCCAACTATTTTTACTAGTAAATTCATAAATTTATATTTATGTGTATTGTACACGAGGGTCCTTATTTAGATTGACACCTGTTAACACAATATTGACCAGTTAAATAGAACAAAGTCTATTGTGTGTACATTATAATAGCATATGAACATAACACTATATTTGCCATTCGTTTTTTTTATGTAGAAATCTCCTGTGATTAGGAAGAACCTTAACGAACAAGAACTCGATAATATTTGGGACGAAAAACAATTACAAATTTTGGTTAGTATCTTCGCTTAATTATTTTACAGATAATTTACTTGTATGTTTATTTATCAAATGTTTAATTATTTAGTTGGAATCTTGCCCAGACTACGATCAAAGAAGAAAAATCAGAGCCAGGTTAAGGCAAATCATGGCAGAACATAAAGGTAACATAACTAAATTACAATTAATTTGATTACCTAAATAGTAATAAATTATCAGTAATAATTTAAATCATATCTACGTAATAAAATAATTGTTTTACTTACCAAATAAAACATAACATAGGTAAAATATTAATTTGCATTATGCAATATGTATATTGTATTTACAAATAATGAAAATTTTTATAAAAATATTTATTTTAAAATCAAAATGAATAATTTTATCTTGGCATATTATATCAATTTTTTTAACACTACAGTAAAATATAAATAAACTTGAAAATTTTAACCAAAACTTAGTTTGGATTGTTTGAAGAAGGTAATATAATGCTATTAGGTTATGGTGTTGTTATTATTAGAATTAAATTCATTTTTCATACCGGCCAAAAAAATAATTGCTCAAAATAGGTACCTTTATTATTTTATTTTATTAAATACCATGTATAATAGAAAAATTACAAGTTCATCATAAAAATAATTATTGAAGTATAATAAAGTATAATTAATTGTTAGAATACAAAATATTAGTGAGTAATAACATGTCATTGGCCATTGTGGATTTGTGGATAAACTTATAAACGTGTAATATTATTAGGTAGGTACTATATTTATTTATACGATCAAAATCTTACGTAGATAAGTATGTCATCTCATTTTTATAAACATTGTAAAACGATGTCGTCGTATAAAAGCTACATATATATACATATTAATATTTAATATATTTCATTATATATCCTTAATCGCATAACATATTTTTTTTAAACAAATTCCACTGGAATTCTGAGATTAGATTCTGGCATCATTTCATATTGTAACTTAAATTCGGCATAGAGTTGAAATTTTTGTGTTGGCATTAGCTCCTAGGTATAAAAAAAACAGGGCATTTGAAATAATATATTTACATTAATATTATATTGTATTCGACGATTGTTGATTTTTAGATTATAGTAGGTACATACTTTATATCTTTGTAGTCGGTACTTTTTTTTTGTTTTAATAATGTTAGATGATGTAGGTATATTATTCATATTAATGTAATTTCAGCGTGTACGGACGTCGTCGAACTGGCTGCCCTAACGGACAACACCACGAGCAACGGAAAAAACGGTGAGTTATTGCAGCCTATGTGTAATTTAAATTTAAAACCTATCACGTCCGCGGTCGATGATTCGGGCACTGAGTCGGGCGAGGAAGTGAACCAAAAGATATTGGTGCAAGTGCAAGGAGCGTTGGCAAATCTAGAGAGCGCGTTGCCGGCACTGGATCCGCTCAGGCGTTCGTCCGTTGTCGAACTGCTGACAAAACTGCAGACCAGCCTGAAGTTGTCGTCCATCGACCAGACCGGAAAACCGACGCCACCGCCCCGGAAGTGTTGGAACCGGAAGGCAACCGCGGGAAGGCAGGACCGACACACAGTCGGTGTATCGTCTGAAGAGCTGCAGGATGCCAGGCGATGGCTGGAAGAGAACGGATACGGCGGAACTACGACGCCCGCATCCTCGACACCCGCGGCAGTTTCCGCACGCAATACGCCGCGATGCTATGAAGTGGCCGCCCAAAAGACGTTCAGGCCAGTAAAATTCGTTCCGCCGCCGCCGAAACGCACCAATCACTTGGCCGAGGACTGCGTCATACCGGAACCGTCGATACAAGCCCTGCAGAACTGCAACTCTTTCACGTGTCCGCCGGCACAGCATGTAATAGTCAAAGACTTGGACTGCAAGAGACGTAAAAATTCCACAACGACGACCATGTCGATTCGTGATTCATCCAACTCGTCTGCGGGTGGGTCGTCGTCGTCGTCACCGGACGAAGAAGACGACGACGACGATGACGATGGCAAATCCGTTTCATCGGCACAGCGGTTGTTGCAGATCGCGTCCAACGATCATTGTCGTAAGTTACGGCTGCAGGGAAAGCGTGTGAAACTAAAACGCGGTGCGGCCGGTGAACGAGAACGTTCTTCGGGAGACGACGATGAATACCGGCCGCGGCGCGTGCCGCACATCAAGGAACCGCCGACGACTTCTTCTAGCGGTGGAGTGCCCATGTTCGAACCTAAGACGGCCAACGATAAGAAATACTTAGCTTTGCTGCGGCACCAGGCTGAGGCGGACGAGAAAGCTTTCACAGCGTCGGCTTACAACCCGTTGCAAGGCAAACTACAGGGCAACTGGGGCAACCGTTTTGGTAGGATAAAGACGACGTTTGAGAGTAGGATTGGCGGCGGTGGTGGTGGTGGGATGACCACTGCTTCGGCCGCCGTGTCACCAAACAGAAACGTAGCGAAAACTTTTTGGCATGACATTTGCAAATGTCCATCGGATGACAGCATTGCTTATAACCGTTCGAAGAAGATCGCTTCGTTTAAGCCCAACTCTGCCACCGACCAGTGGTCGAGAGAGAACCGTGGGTTTTCGCACGGAGTTCGATCTGCGTTCAAGCCGGTTCAGCAGCAGCAGCAACAGCAACAACAGCAGTTCACGCCTTTGAAGCCGATCCCGAAAATAGAGACGTCGTTATTAGAGCCGCCCCGAACAGTCGCTTATCCAAAACGTCTGCCGTTGTATAACAGTTCGGTGACCACGGCCCACAGGCCGTTCATGTACGACGACCCTGTGAGTCCTCCCGCACCGTATAATGAATGCGTACCGCAACCGGCCACTGTGGTCAGTCGAGTTATGGGCAGCCCACAAACGGCAACTTTAGTCAAGAGCAAGCAAAGATCCGACCGGGCTGGTGGCGACCCGTCCCTGTCGTATGCGTCTCCGTCGTTAAAAACGATCTCGACGCCGGTCCGTCAACCTGTGCCATCGTCGTCAGTGAATGCGATTTCGGCACATCACAAAAATCAGTCTTCTATTACTGCACCCAAACCGCCAACAAGGAGCCCGCGGGTGGTGACACAGCAGCGGTCGCCCACCACCTCGCCGGTGCGCATGCCRTCTGTGCTGCAAAAGTCCGAGTCCTGGCACCAGATGATCGTAGGTCAGAGCAGAGCGGCAAACCGGTCACCACTCCCTCACATAGCTTCGGGCACGTCCGTCAGACACGCATCCGCCCCGTATGAGGGTTACATGCAGTGCAAACGAGAGATTGCCCAGAAGCAATCCATTGTACGGCAACACTTGAATGCCGCCACCGAGTCTGCGTCCGCCTGCAGACGTGCGTCACCGAAACTGGTGAAGCTCAACGATGACATTGATAAAGTGGATGACACGTTTGAAAGCCTCTTTAAAGAGTCCACTAGACCGTCCAAATAGCGCCGGCCAATCGTTTCTAATATATGCGAACGTTTTAACAATACCAGTCTGCCCCTAATCCCCCCCACACCAACCAACAATCTCTCGGCAATATAATTATTATAATGTCTAAACACTTTGTTATTTTTTCGTGATATATTTTGCATTTAGTTTTTATTTTTATTTTATATGTTATACATATATATTATACAATAATTATTATTTTATACAGCATGATGSGTGCACTGTATAATATTAAGTTTGCGCATTTGTTTCTAGTCACAACAATAATAGTATGTTATTACGTTATATGTATTTAATATTCTTAACTATGTTTCCTACAATCGAGTATATCGTTTAACATGTATTTCTTTAATATATATATATAYACACACATTATACACACACACATGCATCGCTGCATTTTGAGGATATCCGAGGAGCGAGTGGATAACATTAAATCGAAGAGTGTCTATTCATCTGTAGCTATTCTTCGTGTCTATGTGCGCTCTGCGTTGAACACCAATAAGTACGTTCTTGTGGTCGTGTCTTTTTGCGTGTGTGTTTTTCAAACAAAAAAGTATTCGCATGATACCATAATAACAATATAAAATAATATAGTGATTACTCTTTTGTGCTATAAATAATAATTATTATTATAATATTATGCTCTCATGAAAGTCGTTTGATCATATTAATATACCATCATGTTATCTTATATAATATGTGTTGTTGAATCCGCTCGCTCAATTGTCCCCTAGTGTGTATATTATTGTCGATTGAAATTTGCAGTTGAATGACGACTGCAGCTTTTTAGTTTTTACTAGCAACAAAAACCGCCGTATCTGTTTTCTTTTTGKTTTTTTAATATTTTTTATCAAAACGAAATTTAACCATAATACCTACTATACTGATAATACTATTTTTAATTCACCCTTAGTCTCACCCATGACTAAATAAATACGTATGATTAAAAAAACACTGTTTTCGTCCGGTTTGCTCATTGCTCATATACCACTATTCTATACACAAAAMCATTGCTTGTAGKTCTCCGCATTTCATTGGTCGGAAATGTTCATAGAWTATAATAGAAGCAGAGAAATTCGCGATAGACAAGGCAAGGGTGGTATGCGTATCACAAAGTTGTGATCATACTTATTTATTTAGTCATGGTCTCGCCGCTTAACGTTTGTTGATTTTTTTTCATCGTTATTGTGTATTTTTATATTTATTAATTATAATAGAGATATACTATACATAATATATAAATTAATATATACACATGTATACGTATGCCCAATTTTAAGCATTGTACAATATATTGTTTAGCATTTGTGTGCGTTATTAATTTGTACTTGATTGTTTTTTATAACTTTTCGTTTACTTTTGTTTTAGAAGTTACTGAGACGAATTCGACGAGCGTGTCCAGCAAAACCGGAAATGGATCGTATGTAAAAACTGAAGGTAGGATTATCAATTTTAATTATTTTATTGAACATTAAAATTTAAAATACTTTTGGTTTTTTTAGTGCATACTAGGACAACAACTTCTAGTAACCGTCTGACTAAAGGTAAAAAGATTTTTTTTTTAATTTATAAATTTCAACAAAACACGTAAATAGTAATATTAAATAATTATGTTTACAGCAAATAGCGTTAGTTCTTCACCGTTTGCCAAGTTCCAGCAACTCGAGCGCCAGAACTCGGCTCCAAAGTAAGTTCCTAATTTAAATTATATCGCAGTTAAATATTAAGATTATTGTATAAAAACTCTTCGAAACCCTACTATCGGATTATTATTATTTCAAATATACTAACATTAAACTAAACGTAACTTGATTTATTAAATTATATATTATACAGAAAGACAGAAGTATATTCGTATACTTTCTAGCTTCATAATAATAATATTACATGTTCTTGATTACATACTTCATTTAACTCTAATTTGGTTCTGGTTGTTGGATGAAAATTTTTAATTTCATATGGGAAATTGGTATACTTATCTTAAAATCAACATCTTATAATATTATTTTTAAAGATAAAAATAAGAATAAATGTTAATTAACGATGTTGTGCAATATTTTAGTATTCGATAATTGGTTTTACCTATTTATTCACATTCCATATACTTTAGTGTAGGATAAAAAGTTACATGTTTAAATTTACGTATACATTTCGGTAATTTCGTAATATTATTATCGGTAAACAATGATTACTTCTTCACAAATAAAACAAATGAAAAAAAAAGTGATCACTTTAAAATATATTTTTATGTATTGATGTTAGTCATACAAATAGTATTRTGTATCCTTCGACTATTTTGTACCTATCTTTTTTATAAAATATATACACTTTTTTATGTTAACTTGGGCATGTCATGCTTTGATAAATTTTCTGTAACATATAATATAATGGTAACGTATCGGGGCGTTTTGCTTATAGCTCACAAACGCGTCCTTGCTATAAATTCACCGATCCCGCCCTGGCGCGGAGCGCTTCGTCAATCAAAGATCGCCTACTCAACTGGGTTAAAGCTCAGACGAAGGAATATAAGGTATACATTTTTGTTGTTTTCGTTTTATCAGGTTAGGCCACATATGCCTAATATAGTAATATATACTATACACCTATATATATTATATACCTATGCAGTATGCACAATATATATTATAATATCTATAAGGAATAAGATATTATATTTTATAACAGAAAATATTAAATAGCACAGCATTAGTAATAAGAATAACTAGTATACTTATATAATATCGCATAAAACTCTAATATCCTAAACCTAATAAAACATATGACTTTATTGATCATCGTTTAATATTGGATATATAAATATTATACATTTCATTATTTTAATGATTAACAGTGATGCATGTTTTTTATTTTATCAATTTAATAAATAAATTTACTTTTTTTGTTTTGCCTATTCTAGCTATTAACCACGCTGTTTGGAATCTCAAATGACCTAACTAAATACGCAATATACAATTAATATAATTATTTTATTTAAGCTTCACATTTAATATTTTGGACAATTTCATTCGCGTTTTCCAACCAATATTGTGATTAGATGCGTTGTGTTATAGACGCGATACTATATTAATATATTTTTTTGTGTTGCATGTTTTTCACGACGTTTAGAACCTCCAAATAACTAATTTCTCAACGTGTTGGAGTGATGGCCTTGCGTTCTGCGCCCTCATCCACCATTTTTACCCGGAAGCATTCGACTACGATAAACTAACACCCGAAAAGCGAAGAGAAAACTTCGAAATTGCATTCAAAGTAGCCGAGTAAGTCGTATTATTTTTGTACTAAAATAACAATGTATCAAAATAGATTATAATGTTAGATAACAAAATTTGCACGGTTGTAATTATATTATTGTGTTACACGTATGTTATACTGATTTTACTTTTACAATGATGGATTCATTTTCTTTTCTTTGGACGTTAATAGCGAAGATAAAATATTCAAAATTTTTATTTTCCCTGTATTGGCTATACTTAACTATATTATATAATTTTATTATAAATATCCATAATCTATCACTAATGATAAAGTTTTTAATTTTCACTACAGTACAGTACCTATAATATACGTTCCCTACGAGCGTTAGGAAAAACTACCGATAAGTTGTCCGGAGCATAGGACGTTGAATACAAATATTTAATTATGCAAAGGTTCTAAACAATACCTATGTATATCGTATATGTACTATAAACCTATACCAAGTTGCTTAATTTACTAGATGGTTTTTTTAGACTTCGTTTGTTTTTCAGGGACGAAGCCGGCATCGCGCCGCTTTTGGACGTCGAAGACATGGTCGTCATGCGAAAACCCGACTGGAAGTGCGTTTTCACATATGTGCAGACGTTCTACCGGAGGTTCCACAATGATCCTCGATCTGTCAAACCTTCGTACTTCGAATGATAATAACGCGTCCTGTTTAATCATGCAGCTACGTTTTTGAATGCAGTTCGCTAAAATTCTTTACTATTTTATAGTTTTTATTCAAATTTTTATTATAAAAAAAATTATCATTAATCGTCTCGTACCCCTTTTAATACTTGGTTGATTCGTCTATTCGATTGATCAACGTATAGGAACGATTCGTACCTATATAATATTTATATATGTTACATGTTAAATTTTTATTTTTTATTTTTGCTGTACCTACGATGTTGTACCTACCGATCTAAAATTAGGTATTTTCTGTTATACCCACATATTTTAACTATATTTTGGTAGATTACTAACTACTTAGTATGTATTGTTTTTTTATTCATAACCTTTCCACTAATTCTACAATAATAAATTATTCTTGCAGGCAATACCTCCATGTATGCTCCGGTTAAACGCTAAAAATGATGAATGAGGCTCGTAGGTGATATTATATTTTATCATAGTTTAAATAATTAAGTTATTATTATCATAGGCCATAATATATAATATATTTATATGTATAGTGTATACATAATTATATTCGAGCTTCGCTACAACAATAATATAATCTAATATTATTATTTTTTATTTTAATCTCATCATTCTCTATTTTATGTGAATTACATGTCGATTTGGTTGAGATCAAGGTTTTCCCCCGTTTTTCCGATTGAAGTTAATATTAACAATCTTTAAAATTTATTATTTTATTTATACATTTTTCATCACCCTTTCAAATAATTCGATACGTTAGGATATTTTTAAATATCTGATTTTGTCATTGTCTTAWTCTTAAAGATAGTCAAAAATATAATACCCACGCAAAAATGTAAAAAAACATAATAATAGTATTTAGTATTATCTTATTTCAAATTGTCATCGTGTACATATATATTTGTATACATATATACATGAAATAAATATTATTATATATTATATTAAGTGAATCGATTAACAAGACTAATCTCGATGATAATATTATATACGCAGAACAACACATATTATTATATTACCTAATTTCCTATATTAAACATATTTAACTATTTCTTATTACTATATTTTATTTTTTGTATATACAATAATAAACGTATGCATATTTTATGTATTATTTTCAAATGAGCTATATAATTATCTTCCCAAAATTACTCCTATATATAAGATAATGCTATTACCCACCTGTTTAACAACTTTTTATGTGCCTTTCTGTTTACCTTTATTCTTTAAGTAAGTTTTTTCATATTTGTATACATATGATACCTATATATAGATAAATAATGTATTTTACATAAAGCGAGGTAAGGTATGTAACATGATGCTCAATTAAGTATATACACAATCAAGGCCGTAGCTGGAAAAACTTTTCGTGATGAGTGGGGGAATGGGAGGTAATAAATTACGTCAAATATTTAAAATGAATTGCAAAATATCCATCATTTAGACAGAAAACGAAAATATATTTAAAAACCGCAATACTTAAGACAATCTGGACATTCAGTGACAAATAGTGATAGGTAATTGTTAACGAAAAATGGCTGAATGTATTTCTGAGCGTTCAAATAAAATTATTCGTCGTGAACTGATGGCGGTTAAAAATACAGAACTATTACATGATATGTCTAATATAAGAAAATCCTTGCATAGAGAACATAGGAAAATAATACGCAGCACCTACTTATTCATTGAACGAACTCGTCTTATAATTAAAAACCAATAGTTTAACTGGACAATAAACATAGTAATAATTAGTAAATAGTAAGTAATGAAATATTTTATTTTTTGCCATCTAGACGAAGAGTTGAAAATCGTAGATTCCACGRTGAAGATTAATTTAGAATATTTAGTCAACAACAATCATACTATTTTAGGTGATGATAAATTGTTTGTCCAGCTCATTTTGAACAACTTCATACAATTTATGATTCATTTTCTAGTTTTCTACATAAATAAATGTACGTTCAAATAGTGTATCGAATGTTGTTAATTTTAAACATGTTGACTTATTTTAAGCTATTTACAGATAATTTCCGTTCTACATTTTTTATATCATTGAACTTAAATTTAATACCATCCATTACAGTGACCCCTTGTAACCTACTGTACAGCAGAGCGACATACACTTACCGGCTTTTTTAATTTTTAGTTTTTGTTAAATGTTTCTGCAAATTCGGGTCATATTTTGCGTTTATGGGCTACAACTTCATAGGCTCCTATATAAATAAATATATATATATATCATAGCCAATAGGGGTTTGGGTGTTTAACCATCCACCCTCGCTGCTTTACCACTAATAAATGTATTATTTATATTATTGTATAAATAAGTATTTCATTAATTCAAGTACCTAGGTACTTAATTTCTATTGAAAAATATATACAATATTTGTCAGTCTATAAATAAAACTAAAATACCTCTGAGAACTTTTTCGAACTCTAGAGACCAGGATGATAATAGTAATAATAATAACATAAGTATAATGTTTTGTAACATAAAGGATGAAACATTCAAGTTTTTTTTAATAAAGATTAATAATTGTAGGCACTTATTAAAATAAAATAAAATAACATTKTAGACTTGTAGTAGTTGTAGTACTCAGAGGTTGCAATAAAAAACATATTGATGCATATAAATTCTAACGCTAACATTGATTTTGCAAACGGTTCAAATATCAAATAAAATATACTATTATTAGCATCTCAGTATTCTAATTGACGGAGAATAAGTGATTTTAAAAGCCTTGCCTCACAGGTCACATTGTTCAACTCTTTTTTGCCATTTGACTCCTCTTCATCAGGCATTGTCGCCACCTCCTTGCCGTGAACTAAAAATATAAGTTAATTAATTATTAATTATAAGTCTAATGTTATTTAACAATTTCATATGGTACAAAATGTAATTGAACGACCTTACAAATGATATAACTTGTGTTCTAATCAATATTTTAAAATATTTTTAGTTTTATAATTCATAGATCTGTGTGCTACAAGTACAGTACCTACACAATTTTTTCTTTTGATTTTTAAAATTGTCTTAAATATTTTTGGAAAAGAGTCAGTTTGTAAATTTAATTTTTGGAATAATGCAGTAACTTTTTTGAAAATATAGATTTTTAGGAATTTTCAGGCGTAAATGCATCTTAAATTATTTACTATAGATATAATCTCATAATTATTTTCATAGGTACTTTCAACTGTACTATCAATTTTTTATTTATTAGATCTTTCTGTTACACTCAACATAGTGTGCTATATATATTGTGTTCAACTTACATTCACATTGGTTAAGAAACACTAAACATTCATTGTAAAACGAATCTCTCATGACAATTATGTGTTTCGTCATGTTTTCAACCAATGACAACATACATCGTTTAGCATAAAACCTGAAACAATATTGTTATATATTATATATTATATAAAGTTCTTAAGAGGCCGCTACCCATGCGTTTGTTGTCTATCTTATAGTTGATATAAGACATCAAATTTTTGTTTACTAGTTTCATTTGTGTGCTGTTAGTTTAAATATTAGATTTTTAATTAGATATCAAAACTTTTAGGCAAGACCATCATCTGTGATTAAGTGATGATGATTTTTTAATATATTAATTTTCAAGCAAGAATGTGTGTGAAATATTAAAATTTTAAAATAATAATCTCCTTAAGAAATTAAAATAATGAATTAAATGCTGACACTTAAACACAAATGTCCTCACTGATATTAAAGCTAACTACACAATAAAGTATAAACTGAAACTATGAAACTAATGAACGAAAATGTGTTGTTGCACGTTTCTAAGACGAAGACAACAAGAGCATTGAGAAGCATCTTCTAGAAGCGTTTTAACAAATTGGTTTTAACAGGGGCGGATCCAGCCAAAAATAAAGGGGGGAGGAGTAGTATTTCATAGACGTAAATATAGGCTGTTTCCAAAAATTAATAATTAATATACACAATAAATTTTATATGGATATGAAGTTTTTTAGAGAAGGGGGTACGATCGCCCCCCCCCTAGGATCCGCCACTGGGTTTTAAGCAGAATACTAATATGTTTAAATCTACCATGTATCCATTCCCAGCTTTTTATTATATGGTTCTAAACTTTTAATAACTCTTGAAATCCCAAATTCATAATTTCCTTTTGAGCAGTATAAGGTTCTAAAAATCATAAATATTTTACACTCTGTTTAATTGTTAAAAGTTATTTATTTTACCCAATAACTAGATTGACTATACAAAGGTGAAAAACTTTTTTTTCGGGTTCTTGATAATATAGTCGCTCTTCTTCCTTTTCAATTTTTCTCATTAGCTCTTCGGCTTCTTCGTTCTGTGCAGTCATTATATGAGAGACACATAGGTTGGCTAATACAATAGCACTTACTGACAGAATCTGAAAATCAATATCAATCATACATCCAGAAAATATTTATTTTTATGACAAAATTTATTTATTTCTCCAGTAATATGTAATAATATTTACATTATTGTAATTTTTTTTTACAATTGGTTCATAAAATGCAATTGCTTCTTTGAATTTTTCTTGCATAAATAAAACATGAGCTACATGTAATCGCCAAGTATCATTTTCATTACAGAATTCAACAGACTTATAAAAGATAGTTTCTGCTTGAGCGTAGTTTTCTAGATCCCAGTAGATTTTTGCTTGAGCCATTGTGACTGGTATAAATCTACAGAAGGTAAAAAGGTCATAAGGTACTTAGAAGTAAATTCTAAATAAATGAGAAATTTATAAATGTATATATATAAATACTTTTCAAGGGTGTTTTCGTAATCAAATAAAGCACTTTTAGCTCTTTTATCGTCTCTGGCTTCTCTCGACTCTTGAACAGATCGTGTGACTTTACGCAAAGAATCAACCAATTTATTTGCCATGTTATCAAGTTTGCGATATGCTTCATCAGGTGAAGTTTGTTGTGCAATAACAGCATCCACAAATTCCCTTATGTACTAAAAATATTACCAATAAATAATAATGTAAATACATTGTGTTAGACTAATTATTTGTTTATACATTTGATAGATATTTGTCTTTGACTGGTGAGTATGTTGATATGACGTCAGAAGCCAGATCATGGTATCCATGTTTACAGTATAAAATCAATAAATTTTGTAATGTTTCTTGTGGATAAGTAGACTGCTGCATGAGGAATTGTAATTTATGAAACCCTTGTGTAGGTGACATGTCCATCGAACACAATGCCTGGTTATGTAATGTGACAGAGTCCAATTCTTCTTCCCATCTTGGTGGCATGTCAGTCATTGCTTCCCTTGCACTATCAACTGAAAAAAAAATGTCCAGCTC